GCAGCCGCCCGCGGCGCGCCCAGGACCTTCTTCCCCCAACAGAGGTCCCAAAGCGAAAAGCAGACCTATTTGGAAGTAAGGAGGGTAAAGTAAAACCGAACCCAAACCCACAGCGCCGGCAGCCCCGGGCCTAGATCTCCAGGGAGCAGCCTGGGCTCCCCTAGCGTGGAGGGGAAATCGGGCTGGCCAGAGGGGGAGCGGAGGCCAACGAGGGAGAGCCCCGGTCGGAGGCTTGTCGGTCAGGTGCCCCCGGAGGCGAGCAGGAGCGCCCGTTCTGCTGTGCCAGGGCACGAGGGCGTGTCCTGCATGCGTATGTATGACGGCAAAGAGCCAGCAGAGAAGACGGACTCCCAGACCTGTCTACACCGTCACCACCCTGCCCCACACCTCCCCGTACAGAGAGTTAGGGGTGTTCTCCCTCTTGCTGCTTAAGCCGTGGCACCTCACAGTTGCACTTCACATTCAGAACCCTGCACGCTAGTCCCAGACCTGTTTCGTCCTCTGCCTGGCCAGGCGCACCTTCTCGTGGAAGTGTTCAAAATACAGAACCCCGTGTGCCGGCCTGCCCCTCTCCCTGACCCGCACTGGCCTTGCTTGTAGCTAGGGAGGAGGCAGGTTGCCCCGACCCACTGTGGACTCCCTGCAAAGTCTGCGGCAAATGTGACTGGGAAAGGGTGTCACGTTGCTTTGCAGATTCCACTGGGACAGAGACAACACAATATAGTCAAGGAGGCGTGGACTCGCAAATACCTTCTTTGGCGTCCGTATCAGTGTTTAGTATTTTGATGTCCAACCTTGCTCTCTGCAAGCCTTGGGACGTTTAAAGGGGTGTTTAAGTACATATCCATGGAAGGGCTAGTAGTTCCTGAGCAAACAATTTCTCTGCATGTGATTGGAACAACGCAATTTCTGATCAAGCAGAGAGTAACAGGATAGCTCTGACCTCTGCCACCATCCTTTCTGTTTAACTTCATTTTAAGAGTAGTGGTTATGGTTTACAGGGCAGCTCTGCTTTGGTACATCTTGAAAATGATATAGTCTAGGACTAACTTGTATCAAGCTCTGGAGACCTTTTGCCTAGACTAAAGGAGGTTTTTCCAGGAATAAGGGCCCTATAATCCACCTATTCCCATTTCCAAGTGAGTGGGGACAGACTGAGGATCACTGACTCCTTTCATTCATTCATTTTTCAGCAGACACTGAGCTAAGGACTGAGGGTTCAGAAATGAATGGCACCTAAGTCTCTGCCCTCCAGGACCACTGGCTTGTCGCAGGAAGGAAACACAGAAACACAGAATTATAATAAATTGTGGGAACACATGGGAGGGGTATCTAAACGCTGCTGGGGGTGATGGTGGACAGGGCCTCCTGGATAAATTGAATGTCTGAATTCAATTTTAAAAGCTGCCTAGGTGAAGAGTGAGGCAGGGAAATATGAAAAAGGCTCATGAGTCTTTTTAAAAAACAGCAGGGTGATGCTTTTCCTCTTGAATACTGTGCCAGGTAGGACTGGTGGCCATCAGGCCAGAGGAACAGGAAGGGGCTGGGTCATGAAGAGCCCTGGAGCTGGTAGCTAGCCATCTAGACTCCAGGAATCAAAGTCTGACTGGTTCCTGAAGAGGGACCTTCGTATGCTCCGCTAAAGTTGCTGAGATTCCCCAGAGTTCTGAGATTTTTTTTCTGGCTTTGATTTGCAACTCTGAACTTCACAAAATTCTGTTAGGCAAAATTTCTTAGGCAAATCAATCTTAGGCATGTGTCAAAGTTAAAAAGTTCACTAAAAAGGGAAGTAGGTAGGAAATAATAATGCCAATTCAAATTGACTTGAAGTAGGCAGAGATTAACATATAAAACCTTCTAACTAGTATAGTCTACGCTGCAAAGAATGCTTTTATTTCACATGTTCATAAAAGTCTTCCCCTCCCCCAGTTAATATGTGAAAAAATGGGAGTTCAACAATTGACAGGAAAAAAAAAATCAGAAATAACAATATATCTGAGAAGCAAACGATGAGTAAAATATTTGTGGCTATTTATCAGACATACCAGATAACAATAAACAGTATATTAGGTACTGTTAATCAGACATCCTGGACAGCAAGTTTCATCCCCTACAGTGTCAGACATGAGTCAAGTCGGTTCAGAAAGTGACACTAAGGAGATGTCAAATAGAGGTCAGTTAAAAGAGGCCTTTTCTCTTTCAGTTATCGGTAAATTTTTCAAGCATGTGAATTTTTCACACAAAGTTCACCTTATTATTTCTGTTTTTGGACAAAAACTTTTTCTTTCTAAAAATTCAGAAGGTGTGGTTTGTTGGGAATCCTAGAGAGAAGGTGGAATGCAAAGTCCAGGTGGGCAGAGGCTGTGTGTGGGTATGTGTGTGCATGTGTGTATGTGGGCAGGCATCTGTACGTGTATATATGTGTAATGTGTGTGTGTTTGTATGTGAGTGGTTGAGGTGGGAGTGAGATGGGGTTTTGGTTGCAAAAGATGAACCCTTCAAAAGCCCTATCTTTAAAGGTGTCAGCTCTTTCCTATTGAGATGTATAAAGCTCCTACTATTTCATCTCCTTAAATATACTCTGTGTATATTCCACCCCTGCCCCTCAGAGCCAGCTAAACCCTGTCTCTAAGAGTCAGGAAAGAAGGCAGCATGCTTTAGTGCAAAGAGCACCTACCCGGGTGTCAAGAGATCTGGATTCTAGTCCTGGCTTTGCTGCCAAATAGCTGCATGCTTTTGGACAATTCACTTGGCATCTCTGTACCTCCAGTTTTCTCATCTGTAAAATTAAGACAATATATACCTTACCTAACTCACAGTGTTGTTGTGGGCATCAGGCCAAATAAGATAAAGTATGTGCATATGCTTTGTAAAGTATGGAATGCTATACAAATGCAAGATATTATCAAGATCATGATTGCACAGAGAGATTTTCCTTAAACTTAATATATTTAGTTCCTAAACAGTTCCTAAAAGCCCAGTTTTCAAAATGTTGTCCTTAGACTAGTGGTAAATGCATTCATTAACCTGGGAGCTTATTGTAATTGCAGAATTTGGGCCCCACCCCAGACCTACTGAATCAGAGTCTGCATTTTAGCAAGATTCCCAGGCGATGCATATAAACATTAAGTGCAGGTGGGCAGGACCATACCTTAAATCACTGGTTTTTAAAATTAAAGTGTGCATAAGGATTACCTAGACCTAACTCCAGAGTTTCTGATTCTGAAAGTCTGGGTTGGGGTTCAGGGCTGTACATTTTAAATAAAAGCCCCAGTTGATCCTGTTGCCCCAGGACCACACTTTGAGAAACCCCACACTAAGCCATCAAGATGTGCTCTCCATAGTTTAATAATGAATCTTAGTAGCGTCTTAGAGGACCTCTAGATCTGCTACTGTAACCCCAGGTTAAATTCTCAAAGTCAAACCCATGTTTACTGAAAAAAAAAAAAAAATCTTTCCCACGCCTCACTTCACTGTCAGCAAGCAGTCACCCATCCAATTCATGAAAGTTGCAGGGTGGTTTTTGCTTTGACTCCTTGGGTTCTCTTCTTAGGTTCAAAATGAAGCAACTAAATTATTTTAGGTTGCTTTTAAGTCTCAGTCACCTCACAGTAAATATTTCGTTTATATGGACATAAATATAAGTGCATATCTATTTTATTTAGCACATCTCACACTTAGAAACTAGAAAGTTCACAGAAGATAGAGCCTTATTTTTTATTAATTTTTACCTTACACTGCACATACCACGAATTAAGAATGCCAAAAACTGTATTAAAGTTGTATTTGCAGTTTGGAAGTGTGTGGCAGGTACACATAGACACATGCACGTACGTGCCCATATAGACACGGTTGGCATCTACTTCTAAACAGATCTGACCCTGCAAAACCTCCTTCCCTTGTTTATGTCTAAAATGGAGAGTTAGGAACATGAGTTTAAAACTAGCATTACAATGAAGGAACTGCCTTATTTTGTAGAAAGAGAAACATTCCCAGAGACGAGAGGGGCCCCCTACTTGTTTTCCAGCAAGACAGGATTGGTGCCAGAATAAGAAGTTAGTCTCCATGGCCTTTAGATACTCGCTAACTCCCCTTATGTCCTGATCTTGAATTATTTTTATACCATAAACCTACTCTAAGACTGTTTGCCTTGATACATACAAAATACTTCTGCACTTAGCAGATTATCCTCTTTTCAACTTCTCATTTCTTAATTAGCCTAGGTTTGCTTTAGTTGGAATAGGGTGCTCACCGTTAGTCTGTGGGGTGGGAGAGGAAAGTGACAAAGTTAAAAAAAAATTGTCCCAGTCAGGATAAGGTTAACTTTGGAAAGAGTAAATAAACATCCCTCTTTTGTATTTTCAGGAGATGCATTTAGAAGACACCACCAGATTCTGTCCAAAGGAAGAAAGAGAAAGCGAACAAACATCTTTCAGCGATCAAAACCCCAGGCAAGACCAGAAAGGGGGCTTTCGCAGCTCCTTCCGCAAGCTCTTTAAAAAGAAGTGAGTAGCCCTTAGACAAGACAGCATTGTAACTCATTTCCCTTTGGGCTAAGTCTGGAGGTTTTAACAGTAATAAGGTTTAAGTAGCCTGGTTTCACACAACAGCTTCAAGCTCAGTGCCTGCAGCCAGTAGCCGCGAATCCCGAATCCCATCAGGTGAAGAGTTCTCACTGTAATCTCCTAGAGTAAAAGCAAACTCAGCCCTGTCTCTGCCTCTTTTAGCTCCACTTCCTTGTTCCCAAAGTCATGTGTCTGAGAAGAGTAAGCCGAGGAGGTCCCCAGGGTAATGAGCTGGTGACAATCAAATCCTTTTAGACGGGGAGGCCTGGGGTCCACTGTTGGAGTTGGGTGTAATGGATGCTCCATCCAAATCTCCCCACCTGTGGAAAGTTTTCCAAGGCATCTCAGCGTTTCTGCCTGTAGGAGTCTATAGTTACCCTGGATAACTATATGTTTATAGTACATGTTTATTGGGACTTTTGCTACTGTTTTCCTTAGCAGAAATGATGGAATGGATTTGACTTGGGCCCTAGTTAAAAAAATCACTTTAATGGAGTTTCTGTACTCCATAGGAGGCCAAAACAAGACATTTCCCTTCTGTGGTCCTTCTAAGACTCTAAGTCCTTGTTGTAGGAAATCACCTACTAGGCATTTTGGCCAGCACTTATCAGCACTGTCTTACAGACTGGGAGATGGTGGCCAGACCCCAGCATGAAATGTAGGGAAGAGAGATTTAAGCATTTAGCATTTGACCTGAGAGGGATTCTCCAGTCTAGCCATTGCCTGCCTGGGAGACTACTGTCTCTTATCTCCACTGGTCCTCACACCCCACCTCCCCCTCCCTTAGAGAGATTTTCCCTGCTACTTAGTTTCTCTTGGGAGAGGAGGTTCTTGCAGTCAGTTTTAAACAGTTAGTGGATGGAAAAGTTAAAGACACTCTAACTGCCTTTGGAGAGTTGCTGATAAGTGAGGAAATTGAGGGACATCACTTTCTCCTTGAGGGTAGAAGTTACTGGCTGATTTAGATAATGGTCTCGATGGAAGGGGGCAGGCCTGGAGTGAGGACTTTTTTGGAAGGTTTGTCTAATTTTTCTCCCATGGGGAGGGTGGTACTGAGATTAGAGGATCTGTGAGTGTGGGTCCCTGCCTGTTGTTACTGGAAGAATGAGGAAGAGGAAGAGAGCAAGAGTATTGCAGTTAGACACAGTACTACTCCACAAAGTCCTCTTTCAGTTTTGCTAAGGGACACATGTCTGTTGCTAGATCCCTTTATGCAGGGGGTGAGGAGTTAAGACTCCTATCCCTCTCTTTATGTTCATAGATTAGATTTTTCTTGGATTTAGGCTCCTGAATCCTTCTAAAGGACTCCTAAGATAGGCACTGCTTCAGCCTATCTTTTTTTTAGACCACAGTATTCCCAGACAAAGAGCCACTTTTTGCCCATTGCCATTTATAGTGAGTGGGTCTGTCGGAAAACAGTGAGCCATGGATTCACCGCTGGTTCCTTTACAAATTCCCATTTTTCAGAGCGATGTAAGAAAATGCTCTGCCAGTTACTTGAGGTGGAGGGAGTAGACTTGGCCTCCCTGTATCAAGGGGGCGGAAGTAGGAGTGGTGGGTAAGAGGAAGAACTTTCTAAAAATGCAGGTACTGGAACTGGAGCTGGCTGCCTCATGAGGGAGTGGGTTCTCCTGAGTAGAAGCTAGATGACCCTGGTCAGGGATGTTAATGGAAGGGATTCCTGCACTGAGTGGGAAATTGCCCAAGATAAGCACCTGAGTCCTTTCTAGTGCTGAGATTTGCTTTATCTGTACTTTGGCTTTGTTTTAGATCAATCTGAGTAATCACATCTTTTTAACACCTGGAACAAGAAATTAATATGGCGTTGGGACCTATAATTTTAAAGACTCACCATGTGGAAGACCTGATTTTATCTTTCTGTAGCCCTCCCACCACCGCCACCCCCCGCCCCCAGCCCTTGGCACAATGCTGAGGACTAGCTGTGGACTCTCTAAATTCATGTTGGTTAATTGCTTTCAGTCTTCTTGCACCTTTTGGAGATCCTTCTTAGAGGGTTAAATGGGTCTCCTTAGTCCTCTTATCCTTTCTCATAGATCAGTCTCTCCTGCATCAATCACAATGCTGCCACCTACCCTGCTGCTGCCTTTGTATTTAAAATCTGAAGTGGTATATGAATGGAAGTAAAGGGGGTACCACAGAGCTGCTCCCTCTGGCAGGCTTTCCTGGCTTTGAACATCTGGGGTAGGATCGTGAGCACCACCAGGTGATACTTGCGTATCGCCTTGGGTCAGGGAGCTGCGGTGGGCGCTTTGGGACTCTGCGCAGGATAAAGAAGCAGCCTGAGTAGCTTCTCCTGAGTGTTCTCATGCAAGAACCGTGGGACATTTGCTCCATTATGCTATGATAGAGAGGAAGGGCAAGAAGGTCCCAGAGAAGCACAGAAAGGTCAGCGGCTCTTAACTCAGTTGAGAACGCACCATTCTTCTCAGTAGTGAAGCCTTCTTTCTTCTTTGCATGTGCTGTGTGGGACACTTGTATAGGAATCGTGAATGACATAGTCCCAGCTGTTACATAGGAACTTGCACTCTGAAGTCAGGCATGTGGACAGATCCAGGGAGGAACCGGAAAGAGACATTTAGCTCATTCTCCTCCCATGTGTCGAGAGTCAGGCTGGCAGCAAGCCCTGTGACTTTAAGAAGTGGTTAATCCTGGGTACTGGAACCATGCCACAACCTGGCCTCAGAGGTCCAAAATGGACTCGTGCCAGAAAAACCACCTGTGTCACATTTGGGGCTCCCTGCCTGCCTCCCCCACAGCCCTCTGGAGGCTCATTCCTGTCTACACTGACACCCTTTTTGTATCCATAGGGGCTTGTTTGGCTGGTGGCCCCACACACCCAGAGTGCTGCTTCGGGATGAAGCTAGGCATGGAGCCAGATGCAACAGAAAACCTGAGAAAGGGTTCTCTTCCCTCTGAGGCTGGGAGGGCCGAATGCTCAGACCCACAAGGATTCAAAAGGGAGATCAAGTTGACATCATTAAAAAAAAAAAAAAATCCCCCCAAATGCCCAAGATATTTGGGGAAAAGGATGATGCTCTGATTATTTCTGTCTCAGGCACATTTGTCCTGGGTAGATACCAGGTCACATGTCCCTGAAAGCTGCCCAGAATTGATCAGAATAAAGACTACATATCTAAGGCTTGAAAATGTTAAGTGACTTTAAAAATTCTAAATGAAGATCCTTAGAAGCCAGGAACAGATCTAATGTGATAGGGTGATGCTGGACTGAATCCTTATCTCTCTGCCTTTGAGTAGGGAGTAAGGCAAACTGTCCCATTCTGGAAGGTTGAATATGGAGGCTGTTCAAGACTTACATCTAGACTACTCTGAAGTGTGAGGCAAATACTACTTTATCTTTATATATAAATCTTGCACTTAGTTTAATAAGTATTCTTGGTTGGGGTGTGGCATGGAGGAAGAGGATTATGTAAGACAGTTTAGGGGTAGAGAGTATAGAGGCTCTTTTTATCCTCAAATTTGGGGGAGTGGAATAAAAAAAATATGGCTTCCAACTGATTAATTCTGCTTCCTCACCCATTCTCTTCCTCTTTAACATTTTATAACTTATATACCTTAGACTGTCTCCTTCCTACATCATCACCCTTCCTGCACCAATCACATCAAAATCTCTCTATTTTCTTAATCACACACACACACACAGCATACTTCTACAGGGCCCCATGTAACCAAACATCCATGAGTCCTCTTCTTTGGTGTCTTATCAGCTGTTTCTTTATATGCCCAGCCTCGGCTATGGAACAGAGCACATAATAGAAAACAGGACTACTAAAGAACTAATTGATAATTTACCCCACCTTCTTCTTTACCTCCTCACAACCTATCTCAAGTCCTTCTCCCGTTTCTTACCCACTCCGGGCTCCTCTCTCATCTCATTTCCCTACATTACTTCAAAATTAAAGGAGATGATTGAAGGCATAACATTTTAGATGACTTAAACCTCATTACAAATGTGTCTTAATAGGTCATTTGAAATCCATCACTTAACTTAGTGTCGAGTGTCAGACCCTTAACTTAGGGTCTTTAGGGTACTAGGTTCTGTCTAGCACAAAAGAAGTAAAAGACATAGTTGTAGCCCATTAGAAGCTTACAGTTCAAAGGTAAGGGTAACCTAGCTGAAGGTTTAGTACCTAGAACATAGTAAGCACTCAACAAACATACAGTATATGAATGCTCATTTGTCATCCTGTTGATTACCAGGACTGACTGATTTGGGCGACAGGATGGGTGTTCCCCTGCTCCCTTACTTTTCCATGTGCAGGTCTCCTAAAGCTTTCATAGCAGACAGTCTTTCCAATCAGAAAACCAGCCCTTCTTAGGTGAGAGGGTTCCACAGCACTGGATTCCTCCCCTTCCTCCTTTCCCCAGCTCCAAATAAACTTGCAAGGCTTATTTGTAGCAGATCTATACTTGTATGATCTACCCAGCTTGTTATTTTCTTTGTCTCTGTGGACTAAGTGGAAGGAAACGTAGCAACAGGTTATTCTCTTTCCATCAAACACTTGGATGGCTATGTGTCAGAATGTCCTGGCAGCCACTGTATGCTTATCCAGCAAGCATTAGCCTGCCTGTCCCTCTAGTGTCTGCTCAGATCTGCCCTGCAGTTGACCAAAATGGCCCCAGGAGCTCAAAAGCCATTTCTGTTTTATAGATGAAGGGAATAAAAGCAAATACACTGGCCCCTTCTCCTAGATTCTGCAGGTTATTTCCCAGTAATTTAGGTACACATTACTTCCAAGCCTAATAGCCACACATTTGGAAGAGTCCAAGTGGCCACATACTATGTAAGCATTGCAAAGAGGTCGGTTAGAATTATCTTTAAAAGGATAAAAATAAGCTTATAGTCATGGCTACAGTAGAATGCTGGATTTTGAAAAGGATTAGCAAGTTAGTCATTAGTTAATTAATAGTTAATATCAAGAAATGCAGAGAAATTCACATACTTGGAGACACCAAGAAAGTGGTTTGTGAGAAGAGCGGTTAAAAAAAGAAAATACTAAGCTGAGTTTGTGGACTTTGAAAACTAGACAGGGCGATTTTGGCATTTGTTTCAGAAATGGGAACGCAACTGGTGAAGATTTCTGTGGTCCTTGGGGCTGGTGGTGACATCAAAGCTTTCCCATTTCCAGGTAAACACTAAACAGTTGCATGTTGGAACCATCAAAGTATGACATATTGGGTTTTGGAGAGATCAGATGCAGCTAAGAGGGGAAATGTGAGGTAAAGATTTTAAGTTTTGACTAATGATTTTCTGATGAGAAACCACCATATGGGGGAACCATTCAGAAGAAACACCAGCCAGATTCGAATCTTGCTTCTTATTTCCCACCCCCAAAACTATAGGCATTCCTAGCCTTCTGGATAGAAGAAGATATGGGGAAAGAATAAAAGTGTCAAAAATATATCTTCCTAACATTTTGGGCATAACTGTACTAATCAGGGATGATTTGAACTGTAGGTAGGTGGGAACTCTGAGTTGAGAAGAGGCGTGGAGTTTTAGGGTGGGGCATGTGGAGGCTGTTTCAACGGAGAGTTCCAAGGGGGCTTCTGAAAAGGAATAGGACTTTCACCCTACCAGATAAGATATAATCTTATCTGATGAGTACACAGATGGACTGGTGTTGAGAGAAAGAATAGTTTTCCTTCTGTGCACTGGGGTGTAGTGGAAAAGTGCTTCTTCCTGACCGGAAGTAGAAAACATGGTGGGCAGCTCTGGCTTCATCTGTGGTACCAAGTATCAGGGTGAATAATAAAAAAATCCAGTCAGTCATTAGGTGTCCAGACATCAAGATTTTAGTCTTTGTGTGGATCCAACTTCTTTCCTTGAATAATGTAAAGGGATGTTTGAATTCTGCCCAATTAGTTCAGTAAATTATAGAGTCACAATTAACTTATCTAACAACAACTGTGAGGACTCGTAGCATACCAAAGACAGTAAAAGAACTTATCCTTCTTTTGTGGATAGTGGAAGGATGCCTGATTCTGCGTCAGCATATGGAGAACTTGTTCAGTTGTATAGGAGCTTTGGATAAAGAACTTCATGTCTAATATCACTTCCATACATCCTGCATGAGGTCTTTTGATACTGGTTCTTCGTCAGTGGGCTAGTTCTACCCATTCTAGCTCAGAGTTTAAGTTAGCCAAAGGGCCCCAGCCTAGCTTATCAGAGGTTATTTCCAGAAAGCCTCCTCCCTCCAGGGACTTCTGACATGAACAAACTGGAGAAGGTGCAGAGCTGGAATGGATTACCCAACTGGCTTAACCAAGATAAAGGAAGAATGCACCCTCGACTGGGGACTCAATTGGACTGATTTGAGTTGTTGACTATTGATTGGGCTTGGTCTCCTTTGTGGTGGTTGAGATTATAGAATCTCCTCAATCTGACTACTGTACTAATTTCTGCATTCTATCAAATGTAGCATATATGTGTGGTTGGCTTCAATAAATCTTTCATTTAAAAATGAAAACAAGCAAAAGCAAGAGTTTGTAATGTAATGCCCAAATTCAGTAATGGCCCTTGATAGATAACCTTGGTTGAGAACAATGAATTCCATCCATTTTAATTTAAGGGCCTTGGTAATTTGTGGAGTAGTTACTTCGTTGAATCAAAAATAGGATTTCCTAAATTTTCTGAGCTTTTATTTCCCTTTTACAACGTTATACACAGTATCTTACACTAACATACACAGTTGTCACAATTGTCTCCATAAAGCATTAGAAAGATATTCTCTTTATGTTCGTTGCAAATTTTAGTTACACGTGTCCTGAGTCATGAAATTGAAGGGAAGTAAAAATTATTCCAGATCTAAGAGGCAACTGTTTTACAAATGCAAAACAATTTGGATAAAATATCTGAAAACAATTAAAACCAAATCAACCTGTACTTTATCTGTGTGCTGAGATTTTAGGTCCAGTGGATCAGAATACAGGGAAAAAACTAATGAGAATCCCTCAATGGATCCTTCACCCACCAAACAAGATTTCTTCAGAAACCGACTTGCTCTTGCAAATGACCTTGACCAAGGAACAGCTGTGTAAAACATACTTAAAGTTGTATTGTCAAGTGGTAAGATGAGGATAAAAAGCTTGTATATATCTGTGTAGGAATATATATATATATATATATTGATGTATAAATCCCTGAGGAAAACTAATATAAATACTTACATATGAAACTAAGTCAACATACAAGACATTGAAGAGATGAAGATTAGTCTATAGTTGAGAGCTGGCTTTTTGAACCTCAACACTTGGGAAAAGGGAAGTGAAGACTTTTCACAGCATTACAGAAACACAGTAAATTTGGAAGAAAATAAATGTTTGTAAGAACAAAAACTTCCAACTTGAAGTCATTCCCCCTAATATAATATAGAGCATGTAACATGGATGTGAGTTTTATGCTTCCTAGGCACTTACCTTATGAATTCATCCCAGTGTTCTTAGGCTAATACACACGATGTTAGGGGCCAGTTCTGTCTTGCCATATGTCTTCCAAAAACCCTAAGGCAATACCTAACATCCCTTAAGGCAAAGGATCAATTAACAGAGTTGTATTTTACATGTTGCCCATCTGAGTTGTGGAGAATTTGTGCTTTAACCGTGATATAGAAGGTTCAAAGCTTATAGATACATTGATCTCCAAACAGGAAGGGAACCCTGAGAGTAGTATTTCTCTTGTTCTGTGGTTATGAAAATCAGTACAGGGGACAATGATTTCTCTTGAAACTGGGAGGCCAAAGAAACATTTTCCCTCATGTGGGTTGTGCTGCAGATGAGAACAGTCTAGAGTCTATGTGTTACTGAGTATTTAGGATTCAAAGATCCACTAGTGATCCTGAATGTCACATACACTCATGAACAGATGGACTGGGGGGAAAAGGCACTTATTTAGCTACATCCTCTTTTTAAAAAGATTTTCTTCAGTCTGGAAAGAAGGTGCAATAACATCAGTGCTTTAGTAGCTCACACACAGGGGTTGCTACAAAACACCAGGTCAGAATGAACACTTAGGGCCGGCAATCCTTACTGTGTTTTCAAGAAGTAAGCTGTAAAAAAAACAGAGTTCTTCCAGCTCAGACAGAGGAATCGCTGCAATGAGGCTTGCCTGGCTATAGGGTGATAGAATGTGCTGTTTCCACATGGACGTGTCCAAGATGGTCCACATCCTTGACATGCCCCAAACGCAAGAATAATAGAAAAAAAATGTGTTTAAACAATTTGTCTCTCTTCCCAGGCAGTCATCTGTAATAAATTAGAGGCATTTGGTTACTGCTCATTCAAAATCTTGGTACTCAGACCAACTTCTTTAGAGGCTGTTCCTCTAGGAATGTGCTATTTGATAGAATCCGGGAAGTTCTACTTCTGAGTGTTAAACAGGTTTTCTTCTGCTTGTCTGATGATTAATTAGGAACTCATCCATTAGCATTTTGAACAATAGGTGATCTGGAACACTTAAAAGATCACTGCCAAGTTTGGGGAGTTTCCAGTATTTAAGTGTAAGCCAAGCTTTTCATTTTCCTGACATTCCTGAACACTTTTGAAGTCAGATTTCTCTCTATCAGTAGGCTGAAGACGGTTTGGGGGCAGGGCCTGAAAGCACAATGCAGAACTGACTGGACATGGAAAGTGAAGTACAAGTCACAGTCTTTCAAGTAAAATGTAAAAACAATAACGTTTCTTTCCCTTTCATAATGTTGATCATAAAAATGATCGATTACTGGGAAGGTTTCAAAACAATCACACACCTCCCAAATTTTCATTTTGATACCATCCTTCAAAAAATCTTGATGTTACATCTGTAGCACAACTCAGTTTTGTTAGATTTTATGAAACTAGCCTATAAAACTAGTAATAATTAGTGCTGCTACTCTCTGGGTCTCCACCACCCGGGATCTGGGTTTTTCTGGTAGCTTTCTGACTGCCCCCAAGTACCGTCTGTTCCCATCAATCCTACACATCTCCATCTCTAACAGATTAACATCCCCAAAGACTGCACTGTGTGAAACTCTTTGAATGTTCTTACTTGTCAAATTCTGAGCTCTTTGACTTGACGTCCAGGGCTGTCTGTCTCCCCAGGATGGCTCCCAGGCTTCTGGCTGGCTGCCTGCCGTCTCCCACTGGGCAGGCCTGCTGGACTAGGTGCCTCAGCGAGGCTGGGCTTGTATTGCTTGCTTGCAAGCCATGCACCTTGCCTCACGCCTTTTCCCAGCCTTCTTCCTCTCTGCCAGTCTTCGAGGTCCAATTTAAGTCCCTCATCTTAAGTGATCTCTGGTTCTGTAACTTGTCTATCCTTTGATACATTTTGTCCCGTCTTCCCAAGAAGAATGTAAGTCCCTTCAAGGGCAGGCACGATGACGAACTAGGACGTGTTTTTTAAATTCCTTTCCACCTCTCGAATAGGACACAGTGGGCCACAGAGAATAATTTCTAGTCATAATTTGTCAAAGAGCTTCAGGGTTGTCACTTTACCTTCCTGCCTTTCATTTTTTTTTTTTTTTTTGTAAATAAAAGTACCAAAGGAAATAAAACACAGTTGTTCTTGAAAGCAGTTTTTGCTCAAAGGCAAAAGGCCCCGCTGCCACTTTTCACGGCATCTAGAGTTAGAAAACAGCTCTCCACAAAAACAAAAAAAAAAGTTTGCTACTTTTTTCTGTGTTGTCCTGGCTCATTTCATCATCTTTGTAGGTAATATTGTAAATTGACAGCAGGGATAGGATCTTTAATTATGTTTCTTAATGACACTTAATAAAATGTTGCATTAAGGATGAAGTCAGGAAGTCAGGGTGAGAAAGAGGCTTGCAGTCCCTGCTGCTCTGAGCTCCAGTCTCCTGGAGAAGTGCGGTTTACATGGGAGACCACAGCCGTCTTCTGGAAGTGTCTGGGTTCATAAGCAGAAAGAAGCACTCCACCAAAAGACGAGGGGGATGTTTCTGCACAGGTTGGGAGTGGCAGCCGGTCCCTTCTGCAGCCTGGTGTGGTCTGCATACAAGCCCGAGCAAGGATCACCCTGTTTTTCTGACTCCAAAACTGGAACCTCGGAGAACCAGGGATTTGTGGACCAGCGCTGCGGGGTTCTCTGCAGTGGGTGGTTTCATCATGGGACAAATAGTTTAAACCTGTCGGGGGCTTGAAAGTAGAATGTTTCATGCTTGCCCAGGGAAAACCCTTTGAATAGTGCTTTCTATAGCATCTTGTGTCTCGTTCACTTACCTTCTTCAAGTCTTTACTAATACGTTTCTTTCTCCATGAGGGCACTTGTAAAAACTCAGATTCCTGGGTACTAGCTCAGTCCCACTTTATTGGAATATTTGTGAGCGGGGCCCAGGCATCTGCATTTTGAATGCACTCAGGTGATTCTTTGGCCCACTGACATTTCAGAGCCATACCTCTTAGACCAATAAGTTGAGTGATTTAGTATGTAAACTTCAGCACTCAGATTCTAGCCATAGATGGAAATTTAGGACAGAATAGAGAATTGATTACACTTACCTTGAGATACTGAAAGCTGGTAGTTCATCAAAACCCAAATGAATCTTTCTGAATTCTTAACATTTATCATCTGTAACCTTTACTATCACATACAGTAAGATTTTGGTTAAAATGTACATATGATTAGTGCTCTTTATAATAAATTGGTAGAATTGATTGTATATTCCAGATAATCACGTGCACTTAGGAAAACAATAAAATGAATGTCTTACGTTAAGTTGTATAATAAAATTAATCTAGTTTTCAGACTAAACTTTCTCTTGAAACATCACCATTAATAATTTTCTTCCTGAGCCTAAAACCAGTAATGTTTTTGGGACACTTGGGATTCTCATAGCCTGAAAGTTGATTTAACTTAAAGATGTGAGTGTAGTGTTCTCAGCATCTGAGCATTCTGGTATTTATGGAATACGGGCCAGCGAGTCTCACATGGTGGGGAGGGGTGAGGGAAAAGGAACATGAGATATAAAAGAGGTTGAGAAAATTGATGAGGACCTATATATTTTAAGGGAAAAAATAGAAATTGTTATGTAACGCTAGACCGAAGTTTTAAACATGTGTATAAGAAGATACAATACCAAATGTTGTGAGGTTGTCAGACACGCAAAATAGTCAAGATTTTTCTACCCAAATAGCTTGTTCTCCAAAACTTGTTTTCAAAGAGCTTATGCATGCATGATCTTGGTAAGTCATCTAAACTTGTTTCTTATCTATAAAGTAGATCTTTTTCTCCCCTCTTGCATCATTCCCTTCAGAGGTAGTAGCATTAAATGCTCATACTTCTTAGCAGGAAAACAGAATGTGTTGCGTTTCTTCCTCATGTATACAGTGCTGTCCATCTGGAGGCGGCGGGCTCTGCTATGAAGGCCGGCAGCTGGGGACCATCTGGGTCTCTGTCCCAGGGCGCTGTTTCCATCCAGCACTAGGTCACATCCCCTCTCCTCATTATCACATTTTCCAACTGGGACAAACCCTTCAGCATACAAGCATGCCCTTATTTCTCCCATTTTTTAAGCAAAAGATACCTTGACTGTTCTAGCTGTGCCTTCTGTCTCTGCTTACCTTTCTAGTGAAACTTGAGAGAGGGAACTGCTCCAGTTCTCTCCCCCCATTCCTTATTAGACTCACTGGGCCCGCACCACTCCCCCAAACTGGTCGTGTCCAGATCATCACTGACTTTCCCCTTGCTCAATGAATAGTCCACTCTCCCTATCAAAGAGAATTTGACATGCTTATCCCCTCTTCCTTTGGAAATAATTTACTAGGCTCCAAGGGCACAACCTACTGTTGTTGGCTTATATCTTCATTGGCAGCTCCTTCTTGGTCCATTTGCTGGTTCTCCCTCCTTCCCGCTCTCTGATTGTTAGAGTGCCCCAGGGCTCTCCTTTACTTGGATCTCTTCTTTTTCCATTCTGTACTTAGCTTCTTTGGTGATCTTATCCAGTCTGCTAGCTTTCAAATATGATCTTTATGAAAGTGACTCCCAATTTTATATCCTTAGCCCAGACTCCTTCCCAGATTTCAGACTCCTATCTCCTACTGCTGCCTGGCACCCCCCAGATGTCTGACATATTTATTGAACTGAATGTGTCCTAGCCTGCTTCAATTCTACCTTCCCACCTCAGTTAATGGTAGCTTTGTTCTTCTAGTTGCCAAAAACCTTGAAGCCATCCTTGACAATTGTTTCTTTTTTTAATTCTTTTTTTTAAAAAAAGATTTATTTGAGAGAGAGGGAGAGAGAGAGAGCACAAGGGGTGGGGAGGGGCAGAGGGACAAGCAGACTCCCTGCTGAGCACGGAGCCCATCTCGAGGCTTGCTCCAAGGATCACGAGATCATGACCTGAGCCAAAGTCAGACCCTTAACCAACGGAGCCACCCAGGCACCCCGACAATTCTGTTTCTTAAGCCCCATGTTCAGTCTCTCAGCAAATTCGCTATCTCTGATCACTTCTCACCATCTGCACTGCTATCACCTTGACCAAGCTGCCTTCTATTGGGCTAGCCTCTTCACTCCCACTCTTAACCCCTAATTATTCTCAACATGGCAGCCAGAGTGAACCTCTACTCAAACGCTCTATGGGCTCTATTTCTAACGGAAGCCAGTCATTACAAGTGATCTGGATCCCATTAAACCTCTGATGGCCTCTCCTATTCTGCCCACGTTCATTACTCTCCAGGCGCAAATAGACTCACTGTTCCTCAGATGTACCAAGTGTGCTTCTGCCTCTAGGCTTCTGAGCTGGCCTTTCCCTATGACTTGGCATATTCCTTCCTCAGACACTTGCATGTCTCCTTCCTTCACCTCCTTCAACTCTTTACTTATACGCCACCTTCTCTGCGAGCTGATGCTGATCATCCCATTTATATATATATCATCACCCCATCCCCTACTTTCCCAGTCACCTCGTCCTTTCTTCGTTTATAGCAGTTACCAACATTCTAACGTATATGCTCTTTCTTATTGTCTACATCTCATTAGATTACTAATCTTATTATGATACAGATTTTTGTTTCATTCATTGCTATATTCCTAACATCAGAAGTGTACCTGGAACAGTAAATATTTGTTGGATAGTCAGATGAAATGCTTATCATACGGTCACTCAAAACCAATTTAAGTGATAGTAAACATCAAAGGAAGCTGGATAGTAAAGAATCAAGAAGTTATGGGGACTTCAGGATGAAATATCAACCTCTTCAAAGATACCTAAAAGCAGGCAAACTTTGAAAACATATCCCTCATAACTTTGGTTACCTTTATTAAGCACCTATTCTGTGAAAGGCATTGGGCTTCACACATATTGTCTTTAAACCTCACAGGAGTCCCCCAGGAGATTATTAGCCTCATGTATTGAGGAGAAACAGAAACTCAGATTATTTAAGTAACTTCTCTAAAGTCACACATCTAGTAAATAATGGAACCAGAATGTGTACACAGATACGTGATTCCAAGGCATCTGCTTATTGTACTCCCCCACAGCGATTCTTTCTTTTCTTGATGAGTCATGAAAGTAGAGAAACTAGCTTCTAAAAAAGGACTGTATTTTTTTTTCTTGCCTCTAATGAGAATCAAGAGTCTTGAAACAATAGAATGTGCATAAGCTTTTTTGGAATTCTCTGGAATCCATGGGAATCTCTCTGCAAAGAGGTAGGCCCCCCGCCCCCCCGTCATGGGCTATACCCTAGAGACTTAAGAGCCCTGAATCTGTGATGAGCTAACATGATTAAAATAAGTAAAAAAGCAAACCACCCGGTTAAAATTCAAAAGTGACATTTCAAGAGCAAATTCAGAACCAGGTTGACTAATATCAGTATTAATGTTATTTACCTATAGCTCTTAAATTGATTACCTAGAATGTACTCAATAATACATAATTGGATTTCAGTGGCCTACAAATGGAATTTGTACAAATTAATGATTTTGTGTTTTTAAAGCAGGGGCTGGGGGGCGGGGAACCACACATAAATTTTAGCTAGTCCTGAGAGCAGTCCTCCATACACCAGGAATCCGAGTCCCTTGTCTCAGGCACGAACTGGCACAGGACGCTGGCTAAGTCATCTCACTGCTCCAGGCCTCGCTTGCTCCAATTTTTAAATAAGGGTATTGGATTGCTAAGTTTTTCATCAATTTTTACATTCTGTAGTTCATCATGAATGACCTCACATTAAAAAAATTCTTTACAGTATATAACCGCAAACTGTATCTTTTTATGCCAAGCCTAGAAAGAATTGCTAAACGTCAGGCTGCCATATTCTAACAGGTCTCGATAAAACTTGTCTGTCAAGGCATTGTGGTATCTTAACTTTATAGACTGCAAATGCCTCCTTGGCCCTTTGAAACTTCATCTGGGTGACACCCAAGGTCGCTAAAGTACTAATTTTCATCCCAAGGACCTCCCACTCACTACAGTCCTAGGGCTTGAGACAGAAGGAAATACTGAACTTTCCATATATATAATATGATCCAGGAAACAGTGCCTCCAAAGCAAGACCATGATAAAGAACAAACTATTTCTATACAGAAAGCACAAGCTAAGAGGAGAATGGCGACTGATATTGAAAGGGGTGCCTTCTAAAATAAACACGTACAAAAATGATACATTTGTGGACTATGTAAGGCATTTTTCTTTATTATTTTTCGGTTTATCTTAGCAATGCCAGAAAAATAACAGCCATTATTTTCACTTTAAATGCAAACCAAATACTGCTGCACACAGAGTACAAAGATTACCTACGAACATGGTTAGGTACAAAGGCCATATTAGATGTATAGACTGCACTTTGTTTTTACATCAGAGTAAGACTGACAGAGCAATTTTTTGGACAATTATTTTAGCAAATATACCGTGCTACTAAACAAAGGCAAATACACACACACACACACACACACACACACATATATATATACACAAGTACGTTTCAACTGAAGTTATACATGTCACTTTGACAAAGGCTTCTTCTCTGGTGAATTTCACCAGATATTTGCACCCCAAGGTCCCCTGCCCTGATCCCGCCCCCAAATGCTGACTTGATCTGAAGAAAAAAATTAGAGATGTTCTTAATTAAAGGCACATTTGGCAGCTACTGAAAGTGGCATGCATCTGACACAGGTGCACTGTCCCTAAAGCCACGCCCCATGTGACTTCCGTCCTCTGCATCTTGTTTCTTTGAGTGGTAGTCCAAGGTGATCCACCTTTAGCTAACTTGCTTTATAATTCTGCAGCAATTGGCTATTTAATGCACTATTTTCATTAAAGGCAAAGGGAAATTTGCTCACAGTCGACAGAAAATGCACTTTACGGTGTCAAAAATGGAAAATAAGGCATGAAACTTACAAAACAAGTTACAAGTGCTTTTGTTTAGATTTATCATCTAGACTTCATGCTTCTTAACTAGAGCTCAAAATATTTCATGGGCTCATGTATAAGGGATTATGAAATGATTTTAAGTTAGTAAGGAGATGTTTCAAAAAAAAATACTGAATAAATAAACGAAGTCATCACTTTCCCTTATAAATAATTCTACTGCATAATTCTTTCAGCCAAACCGGTATTAACCTGGCGATGTTTCTTTTACTGGTAAAGATTAACGTGCAACAGGACCTACACTTGTGCAACAGCCACACAATATAGGTTAGAAGAATAAGTGAGCCTACCCGTAGCAGCAGAATACCAAGAAATAAATGGCTAAATTTCTTTCTTTCTAAATCAGGAGGAAATAAAAGGTCTTCCCCAATACATATACAACACACACAAACTGGGAACCTCTCCCTCCCTTTCCATGATTTGTTTTGCTGAGCCACTTAAAACTGAATTTAAGCTATCATTAAAAGGATGAAATACATGACCTAAGTAAGCTAAACTTGAGAATTAAGATCATGGTCATAGATAACCAGCTAAGTTTTGGTTTGTGTAACTTTCAATTTGTGGAAAAACCCATAAAGGAAGAATTTAGAACCATAATATAGCTTCCGAGTGAAATAGTACTTTTTCACTAGACTGTTGTGTTGATGGTAGTTTTTAGTGTGGCGTGCTCTTTCCTAAATTCATATCCATTAGCACATTCTTGAGCTGTTACAGCATAGTATCCCACTAAACACATAACTTGATACCCAACAACCTTTAATTAAGCAAACTTTTAATGCTTGTATACTTCCTGATAAGTTTGTACTCTTAAAATACATCAGGACGGCTGGGAACAGTCAATTATCTGTCTTTCAATAAACTTAGAAACATACACTTATCTGTTCCTGTTTTAAAAAGTGCTTAGATGTGAAAAGCCTCCCTTTCTATTGTTATTGTTTATCAGCCCGCTTAAGTATATTCAACCTTGAAATGTTTTTATTTTGTGATCCGAGGATAATGAATCTTCTAAGAACATTTCCATTTCTAAAAGAAATGTCCCATATTTTGGAATGTGGTTTAGAAATAGTCATGCCACACTGACTGTCTTGTAATGTCCCGGATTCAAAAGCGGAATTTTGTGGTGATGCAGTTCTCTTCTCAGCCACTTCTTGTCCCTGAATAAGTATATTTTAGTTACTACAAAGAATAAATTTGTCAGCTAGTTAATGTTTCACGTATGAAGAAGGCAAGGATACAGTTTTCTCACCTCCGTTTAAGGGCATCCAATTGGGATTTTTTCTAATCAGTTACCACTGCAGAAAATATTTTTACCCAAAATGTCAACTTCAGAATAAAAATATCCTCTATCCACAATGCTGATGCACAGTGAAGTGGTCTCCTAGAACCACTGGGGTAGGAGAATGGTCCCCTTTGGGATAAGTAGGATTAGAACTCCAATTCTGAGCTTTTCCTCTTTAAAAGATCAGGCGGGTTGAAAAGCATTATTGAAGGCTAACGCACTGGCCAGAGAGATATTGAATGGGCTCCAATGTGACGTCTCAGGTTCTCATTTGGAGTGGGGTACGGGGTAATTAAAAAGAGAAGTGATCAATAAGACATATAAACGGAAATCCTAGGGAAAATGAGGCCGATCTAATAAAAAGTCATGGGGGATTCTGGAATGTGTATTATGATTAATTGCAGCAGCACTAGTAAGTAGGCTTAGATAAACACTTGTTGAATGAATGGTCTTATGGACACTTTGTGTACAAGAGTCGATTTGAAATTAATTTTTTGGGAGACTTTTAAAAGGAGACATTTTACAAAGAGAAAAATGGCTACCATAACAGGAATGGTACAGGTATTAAACAAAAAAGGGTTCAACTCTAACAAATAAATAACAAAGGATATGATAGGATGGATTGCTTAATGATGATGCAATCAACATTCTGGTCTCAAAGGACTATATACTGTACTACTGGGATGTACATTTAATGCTCTAATAAATATCACAGGAAGTTATTAAAGTACTAGTTTCCACCATGGTGCAGCGCGTCTACAGATGTCTCTAATGGCATGGTTAACAGAACTGCTGAGATGTCGCTTCATTATTGTGAGGACACATGCAGATACTGATGGACTGATGACTCTCTAATGATGGAATACTACACACTGCACAGACATTGTAGTGGAGATTAATAAAACTTTTTCTCTCTGACAAGTTGCATGCATTTCAGTCACGGTATTGGTTAGACTCAGAAGATCAGTACATAGGTTTAATGAATAATCTGTATTATGATACTAATGATGTAGGCAGATGTTCTATTATGAATAGTTTTGATAGAGCAAAGACCTCAAGCAAGGTAGAATGTTTAATATAAACTAACAAACTGTATACACGCTGCCTAGGAAATTAAAAAACTTCCAAAGTTCTGCTTAAAAGATACCCATCCTGTTCTAACCCAATTTTTTCCTACATGCCAAACTGTAACTTTAGATCATTCTTTAAGATGAATACATACATCCAGAACTAGAAACCAAGGCGTACCACAATACGTGCTTTTATGCTTAGTGTTTGCATGTATGTGTGTGTGTGTGTGTGTGTGCTTCAACTGAAAGAAATAAGAATCAACCATTTTCTCCATATAATAATTTAATATATGCCAGCCAAACAAAGTATTTGTATCTTTATTCAATTAAATTAAAACAGACCATAACATTCACTATATACACATGATTTCGGCAATGCAAGGTAATTCTAGATACGCTGATTACTCAACTATCAGTAAAACATGACCGTGTCAGCGACGCCCAGCAAGCGCTCCTTTTCACACCGGGTGACTGCGTTTCCGGAGTCTGGGCGGAGGGACAGCTATGAGCCATGACACGGATTATCAGTAAACTTTTGTGGGAGAAGGGGGGAAAGTAACAATCTAGCACAGATTAACAGTCTCCTAAGTGTAAATCGTATACTTGACAGTTACATTTTTAAAAAAGTTCTTCTGTCACCTTAATGACACACAGCTTCTCTCGTTTGAAGGCAATACCACCACGTTTTGTTTGTGTGGGGGGGTGGGGGAATGCTCTTAAAATCAGTATAATTACTCCTAAAAAAAAAAAAGAAAGAAAGAGAGAAAACAAGAACGAAAAGAACAAAAAAACCACAAGTACCTCTTTGGTGCAGCCTCGGTACCCATCCCTTCACTGTGACAGTCTGGAAACAGGACGGCCGCAGTGCTGGGCCCGGGCTCCAGAGCTCAGGCACCACAGCCGCTCCTCACAGGCCTCGGAACGACTTCTAAGAAAATATTTTAAAGTAGGACGAGTAAAAGCAAAGGAAAACAAAGGAGATATGAAGATCCCTGTTTAAGATTTCTTTTTAAAAAGTGCATATCTTGAATTACAAGAGCTGTCATCATGTGGGCCTGCTGGACACTGGACTGTGTTTTCCATCCCTTTAATGATCAAGATCACTTCACAAAAAGGGGACTCCTGCCTCTTGGCTGGAAGAAGTCCCTCTCCTCGATCTCAGGTGCAATCAGTTGTCCAACTCCTCTAGATCGGTCTTCCCAGATTCGAAACGAATACCATTTTCACGTATAATTACGTCTCGGGTAAGGTTCGTTGTCTCACGCTGCATCCTGAAGCAGAGTCGGTAGTGTTGGGAGCTGTCGTTTCAACCCCCCCAAGCCGGCTCGCTCAGTGCGCCCATCGCCAGCACTGGGTCTGCGGCCAGCGAAACGTCCGTCCTGGAACAGAGCGACTCAGGAGGAGTGGGCGTTCTCCAACAGCGGTGGTCCATCTCTGTGCATGGATGGGTGCGTGTGCTCCCTTTTATAAGTTTTTGGAGGGAGTTTAGGGATATGTTGAGAAGTGCTTTGTCGTGGAGGAACAGGCGGCCCAGTGATGGAAGGAAGGTCCACTTCTTGTGTCAATGGTGGCGACGGCAGATGCCTTCTCGTGCCATGGGGAGACGGTGTTTGAGGAGGAGGTGGTGTAAAAGGGGAAGGGCTGTTTGGGAAGAAGGCATTGCCATGATCGCTTTTTTTGCCCAAAGGGGGAGGCTGGAGATGTAGCGGGGAGCTGGAGAAAACATCAGGTGTCCTCACAGGCTCTCGCGGTGGTAATAAGGGAGGGCTCTCAGGAGGGTCTGATATAGAGGTCCGGTCTGATATTGAGTATCGTGGTGAATAGGCTTTGGATGTGGGCTGCCTAGGAGGAATCGCTGGGGGGCTGTCCAAATGCTTAGACATAATCTAACACAAATGAGAAAAAGAATAAAACACAAATTTATTAGCAATTTATGTAGTACCGTGAACACGTTAAGAATTAAGTTGGGGTTTTCAAACATGCTATTGGTAGAGCCCTAGGTGTGGATCAGGGAGTTTTGCCGTATGTTTTAAATGGGGGATTATGCCCATTTATTAGATTTTTTTTTCTAAGTTTTTATTTTTCTCAGAATTTTGTTGTTTGCTACTGCTTACCTATCAATCTAATATAAAATCATTTGTGACTTAACATAAGTTCATCTTATAATTTTAAACTTACTATATTAACATTTTATGATGTTCTGCAAAGTGTCTTGACTTGTCCAGGTGCTCTGCTCTCCGCACACTCAGAACCACTAAATCAAGTTAACGGTTGACAAAGAAAGAAGCTTAAACAAGTGGAAAAAATGGCTATTATAAGCCTTTAAGGTCTCTTCCAACCCAGAACTGTCGTGCAAATCCCATTTAAAAGCATGTCAGATTTACTATTAAGGGCTCAGATAGGTAATGTTTAAGTTTTACTTAAAATGTGCTTTCGTATAAAGCTTCACACTTCGCTTCTTTCTCTTTCTCTGTATAGTCTCTGCTTGAGACATTCTTCTTTACAGATTAAACTTGTTTATTCCTTGACAGGACCCATAATTTAGATTTATAAGGGTTTTGAAAATATACCAAAAAAACTACGTTCAGAAGAAAGGAAATAAACATTACTTCAGGGTAAATCCGTATCTAGTCCTCGTCTATACTCTGTTAAACTCAGCTACCCTGAAGTGTTAGCCTAATTCTGTGGGAACTAAACTAGACACGGGGGCATGATTATAATGTAACTGTAATGACTCCACTGTCCGGATGACAGGACTCCCTACTTACCTTAGACGGCGAAGATTCGGCGGGGGCAGATTCCGGCCGTCTTCGTGGAGGAACAGGAGGGGGGAGGGGCACTTCATCAGTGCCCTTGGTTAAACTTATAGACGATACTGAAGCAGATCCTGTAGGATGTTACATTTTTTTAAAAAGTTCACAGGAATTTTATTTCATCTATTAATCCTGAAAAGGCTTAGCTGGAAAGTGCTTATATTTATTAAAAGAAACGTACAGAATTATCAAAAGCAGTTCAATAAACCAATACACAATAGTATTTCCTTGATTAAAGCAAACTGCTATAAAAGCATGCAGAAATTTCTTAGCAGAATTTTCAGGAAAAAAAAAAAACCTGCCTAAGATATTCGTTATTTTGCTTCTTGAACAAAATAACATTCCCACTGTTAATCTATTACTGGAATTTTTTATTTGGATATGATTCTCAGGTATCTGGGAGAAACAGCAAACTACTAAAAACTTTTGGAATGGTAATTTTGTTAAGCTTTTGTGATGGGCTCATTTTCTTTCTCTGACTTTATTAGTATAGAATTTCCCTGCCCTTACTGGATAGTCCTTGGGATTAGTTTCTGATCTTAACGGCTCTCCCCAGGTAGTCTCTCGAAGGATGCCAGGGAGAGAATCTCATGTCCAGGGGAGGGGTCTCTCCTCACTTTGCTTAGGTATAGACTGGCTCTCCTTGGCGGGTGAGCAAAATCAGGTTCATCATACTCTAACCCAAAAATTTTAATTGTGATGGAGCTATTTAAGATGACGGAGGCAGCCCTGATAAAAACAGAAATTACACTAGAATCTAGTGAACCCGATTTAAGAATAAGTTGATGAACTGGCACAAAAAAGGTAAGTAAAGTTTCTAATCAGAACTTATCCTATAGACATTTATGATGACAAGGGCATAATATAGGCATAAAGTAATTACATTATTTAAAGACAACATTTATGTAAGTTGTTAGTTTATGCGCAGTATAAAAAAGATGAAAAAATACATAGATGATCATTCAGAATTATACTTGGCAGGTTCTTGTTTTCCTTTAAGTATCAACAGCTTTTATTTTGTCAATTAGAAGTTATAACAATATAGAACTTAAAAGAGTACTTTGTGTACTGATACTCAAATGAGCAGCATTTGGATCATCACCTACCTTTTTTCTTAAGAGACTACGTAGTAAATTAATTTAGCTTATAACTCATGTTTTCCATCATAAACATTTTGAAATCATTTGTATGAAGGACAGCAAAACCACTAATTTATTAGCTTAAAACTTATGGAATCATTTGGTGAATTGTTAGTTGACTTTAAAAATAAAAGCAAACGTCTACAGTGGAACTTTATTTTGCTCAACAGTGATGACTATTTAGGCCATATAAGTTAAGTGGTTACAGTGATAAGACAGTTCTTCTAAAGTCAAATAACAGTCATTTGCCTAGAGTCTGTGCCATCGCCAGGCTAAGTGTATCTGGTGGTTTGGATACCGCGGTAGCTGCTAGCATTCCCACAGGCGCATGCATGCTCTTGCTGGTTTCTTTTTAAAGTTGAGCATTAAAATATATTTAGAACTCTATAGTTGGAAAAGAGAAATGGTTAAATGTGGAAGTCACCCATATAATGTTCTTTTGAAAGAGAAAACAGGTTTTACAAAAAGCATGAAAAGTGTCTAAGTTGAAGCAAATCATGTCTGATCAGAAGACAGCCCAAGTGAAGCCCTGACGTCTACGACGTTGCAAGCAAGGGACCAAGGCTGCCAGGCCCAAGAAGAGTTTTAGCAGGGAAGAGGACACTTGGTTTAATTTTTAAAGCCAAAGCAAGAATTAGGAGTCTTAAACCAAATATACTAACTTGGGCCATGGGGCAGTGAAACTTGGATAAAGATGGTATCGCTGCCTGTGAAAGGAAACAAGAAAGAGTAGATTGTTTTTCTTTCATTGATAAATTCAACTCATCTGTAAAAATGCATTTATGATAAAAATGTCATTTTTGTCATTCTAATTGTAAAGAATGGTACAACAGTCTTTAGTAAAAGCACATGACTTCTTACTTTTGAGAAAAATAAAGAACTAAATTGAGCTAATATACTGGGAATTTTGAAGATTTTCTTTTAGATTCACTACCTGATGTCATAATAAGTAAATGAAAAGCATTCATGGGAAAACTAAAATATCCTCTATTAGTGGAAGACTTTAAATAAAAAAATGTCTAAACCCAATTCAAGCCAAGAATTCAGCGGGACATAGAGAAATATGTCATTTAGTAAAGGTTATTTTGAAAACTCAAATGTGTGAAATAAGTAGTAAATGATGAATTTATGTTATGTCAATTGAAAAATAAAAGGGAATTTCTTACTAATATTATTATTATATACTTTTCAAAATATTCTTACAGCGTATATTCTTGGCGCAAAATAGTTACAGCTTTGGCTACTACAAAACAAGCCTGAGAGTGATAGAGCCTTTTCCTTCCATATTCTTGAACACTTAAATCAATAAATATCTGGCGCTTAGACACATTTTATACTGGAAACTCCCTGACAAATCTAGAATGTTTAATTTCAACAGTATTAATTCTTCTAAGAAAAAGAACTGAAAACCCTATAGGCCAAAGCCCCAAGAGCATTAAAGGAGAAAACTGAGACTAGAGGCTAAGTGATCTGTACTGGTTCTAAGTCAACAGAGTTGCTGATGTGACCCTGCTTCCTATTACACAGACTGAAGCGGTAATATCCAAGAGACAAAAAGAATTCCTGTAGCACTAGTCTGAGCTGATTTTTCAAAAAAATTCAGGTTCCTCTCTCTCTTTTTGCACAACAGACCATCACTCAGTTTGGACCACTGTTTTTTTCTAGTTGCTTTGGTCAGAACAAGGATAATTTTATGTTCCAGGTGCAGTTGGCAAGACTATTAATGTGACTGCTATTTATATAGATACGGTGGGTTTATTTCCCACATAGCTCCAATTTCCAGCAATCTATCCCATTAATCTCCTTTCCTTATGCACTGATACTTATTTGGAGGCCATGGTCACCAAGGGTAGCAATCCAGCTAATTCTACTAAGTTATCTCTCAGAAGATTAAAATTGATTTTTATACTCCTTGATAGTAAATGAAGCTGTTACTCTGTCAATGATTCACTCCACTATTTATTAGGCATCTATGATGGAACAAGGGTTAAAGGGGTATTTACCTCTAGCGCTTACCTCCTTAGGTTTTTTTTCCACTTTTCTTGGAAAGGAAATAAATATGCCTCCTGGAGATAAGCCTCAAGAACATGCTAGTACACTTAGTATAATATGGGAATAAAATAAAAACACAAAGCTTATGACAGCTACAAACTGCAGGCTTTTAGAAAGACTTGTTATCCCGGGGCACCTGGGTGGCTCAGTTGGTTAAGTGACTGCCTTCGGCTCAGGTCATGATCCTGGAGTCCCAGGATCGAGTCCCGCATCGGGCTCCCTGC